CCCCTATCTTCATGGAAAAACAACAACAACAACAACTCTGTTGATTCTTGAGGGGAAAAACGGGAAAATACCAGTTTGAATGATGTGATTTCTTTTTCATATGAATCTAACCAATAAGGGAAATGTTGCTGAAGCCTAAGCATAACTGATTAGCTCCCAGGGTTATAATAAGGATCATTACCTATACATCTGAGAAGCTTCCTTTTGGGGAAAAGCTCATCACAAACTAGGCTGCTACATTATAACCACTGTCACCAAAGAATGTCAATTCAGTCGTTGATGCCAAAAGGAATCTGACTTTTTAAATATATAGCATTCCATTCTCACTACTGGATGTAAGAAATTCAAGATCCCTTTTTCCTTCTTCATTCTGCACCATATTATTCATTGTTTTCATTCAGTAACTCAACAAAATCTATTGAATATCTACTATGTGTCGGGCACACACATACAACTATGAGCCAGGAGATAGTCATGGTAATAAAAAGACAATATCAACCATACCTAGCATCCACATAGTACTTTCTGTCATTAAAATTACACATTAGATCATTTAATTCTTAAATCAATTCCTGAAAGTAGATGCAATTCTATGCCTACTGTTGGATGAACCACTGAGATACATAGAAAGAATAGTTCTCCAGGTCACACAAGTCAGTGTCACATTCAAATTTCAAACTTGCCTCATTTAACTCAAACATACGTGCTCTTGACCTTTATTCCAAATAAAGGAAAACAAGGCCTAGGGAACTTGAACTTGTGATGTGCTGGAAAACAAACACATACACAGCCTGTAATTTCAAATGCTGATGAGATCTACTGAAAGCATCAGGGTGCCATGAGAAAGGATGTTACAAAACTGCAAAGGTTCTTCCTGCAGGCTAACAAATACAGTGTTGACCTTTGGTGACTCTCATCTCATCTAAATGGCAGTTGTGAAATTTAAGGAAGAAAGGTGAAGCTGAAAAGAAGTTTTAAAAGAAACTAAGGCTTGGATGAACTTACTAAGCAACTTAGCACTTAACCCTTGCAATAGCTTTGCCATCTGGTGGTCCTTCTTTTTGATACACTCAGAAGGAACACACACACACACACACAATATTTACTTTGTTCTTATCTTTCCTGCTAGAGAAGGGGCTCCTTGCCAGCATACTTTTCTGCCACAAAAGCAATTGTGGATACAAAGCTTGTAAAAAGAAGGAAGGAAGGAAGGAAGGAAGGAAGGAAGGAAGGAAGGAAGGAAGGCAAGCAGAAAGGGAGGGAGGGAGGGAGGGAAGGAAGGAAGAGAGGGAGGGAGGGAAAGAGAAAGAAAGAAGGACAGGAGAAAGAATAAAAACAAAGAAAGAGAAAGGAGGGAGGGAAGGAAGGAAGGAAGGAAGGAAGGAAGGAAGGG